TCCAGGGGTGACAGATATGCCCAGGGGGAGAGGAACTGGCTGCTTCTTCCTCTGTCTCTAGCTTTGATCTTCAATGGAATCATCCAGGCCTGTGGGATGGGGGTGGAGGGCAGGGATCAAGTTAGGGCTTAAGGAAACCAGAGGGGCTCAGATTCCAGGCCCCACTGACTTCTCCCCCCACCATGGCACCACTGTAGTTCCCTCAGTCAGTGTGGTGCAGCGGGAAGGAGGTGACAGGCCAGTGGCAGGGTACAAGGGAAGAGGAGAGGCTAGGGACTGGGGAAGATGATGCATTTCAGCTTGGATGTGGTGAGTTGAGGGTGGAGGTGGTCAAATCCTAGTTCCTCCATTCCCTCGCGGTGTGACTTTGGGTGAATTTCTTAGGCTCTTTGTGCCTGCTTTCTCATCTGTAGGAGAAGGATAATGTTCGTATCTCAGGACTGGTGGGAGGGCCTGGCACATTCTCGGCATTGGCTTGCTGGCTACCAGTAGTATATCTGGCGGGAGGAGGACGCCTGGGAGGCACAGGTGTGCAAGTAGGCATTGAGTTTCTAGGGGTAGAAGATAGCACTCTGGGGAGGGAGCACAGAGAGAGGAGAAAAGCCCCAGGGAAGCCTGCCATTGAGGGCACAGACTGCAGATGAGTGTGTCCTTGCAAAGGGTCCTGGGCTTCCCTCCGTCTAGAACCCCTTCACTTCATTCAGGCCTTTGCCTTCAAGTCACTTCTTTTTTTTTTTTTTTTTTTTTTTAAGATTTTATTTATTTATTTGACAGAGAGAGACACAGCGAGAGAGGGAACACAAGCAGGGGGAGTGGGAGAGGGAGAAGCAGGCTTCCCGCCAAGCAGGGAGCCTGATGCAATGCGGGGCTCGATCCCAGGACTCTGAGATCACGACCTGAGCCGAAGGCAGACGCTCAACGACTGAGCCACCCAGGCGCCCCTTTCAAGTCACTTCTGAAGCAGGCTTCCCTGACCTCCATCCTAGATTACCCCCTCCCCTCCATCCCTCTCTCCCCCCTTTCCTTGCTTTATTATTTCTCAGAGCTTAGCATTCCTAAAATTATGTTTATTCATGTATTCTCTTTTTTTTTTAAAGATTTATTTATTTGAGAGAGCGAGAATGAGAGAGAGAGAGTACATGAGAGGGGGGAGGGTCAGAGGGAGAAGCAGGCTCCTCGCCGAGCAGGGAGCCCGATGCGGGACTCCATCCCGGGACTCCAGGATCATGACCTGAGCCGAAGGCAGTCGTTTAACCAACTGAGCCACCCAGGCGCCCCCATGTATTCTCTTTTTTACTACGTGCCGGCCCTGCCAGAATAGAAGCTCCATGAGGGGAGAGACTGTTCTGTTCTGTACTACTACATACAAGACCTGGCATTGTGGTAGGTGTTCAACAAATACTCGTTGACGGGATGCTTAAAGTAAAAAGCAGCATCTAGAGAAAGAGGAGAGTAGTGATATGCGCAGTGTGGAGAAAGGTGGGGGCACCAAAGAGAGAGCATACAGGGGCAGCAACCCCCCAGAACTCAGGTGTCCGCTCTCTTCCCCATCAGAGCTGGGTCCCAACAACTGCCCCGCAGGTCTCTGGGATGGGTGAAGGTGGCTGGGAGGTTGGCAGGGAAGAGCTGTATGAGAGACTATCTTCTGCTATTCTGAGTGGCAGTAATAGTTTCTTTCTTTCTTTCTACAAATGTTCATAGTTTATTAATCCTCTCATGAAAAGTCTGCACAATCACCATAGATAAAGTGACTGCAGAATCTTTACTCCTTTTGGCCTGCACCAGCCTTGGCCTGTGCGGTGCCCTGACTTTCTTCATTCTGTTCTCATGTCCCACTTGCTGTTTTCTTGAGGTCTTTTTCTTCTCATGCAGACCATGTCTTGCAAGGCTGTCTTTGGGTTCATTTTTCTTTCATAATCCAAGGAATTGTAAATCATGCCCAAGCCAGCTGCCGTGCCACCACCAACATGGGGTTCTGACTCCGGATATAAAGATGACATCTGGTGTGGTCTTGTCCATTTTGGCTAGTTTTCCCCAAAGTTCTGCCTTAGGTACTGTTGCCTTCTCAGGGTGAAGAACATCAGTGACCATGTTTCCACTGAAGTAGTTGGTTGGCTAAAACTTCCTGATCCAGACAGCCACAGTGTCATTCAAGATGGAAGCTGATCAGGAGGCAGCCAGGGAGAAAAAGAGTGCAGTAATATTTCCAGCCATGAGAAACCCCAGACACCCAAGAGACTCAAGTGAAGCTATGGATTTTCCCATGGGCACTCCCTCCATGCTTCAAAACTGCCCTATGCCAATGGGACAATGGAGGCCTTCACTGCCAACTGGGTCTCTCTTCCCCAAAGATCTGCTATCTAGAGAAAGGGCTGTCCCTTCCTCTTCTCTCCTCCTCATGCCCTCTGCCCTACCTCCTTGCTTCCTCCCCACCACTGATACCCTGTCCAGTCCTTCCCACCTACCAGGTGCCAGACCAGATCCCAGGGCTTACAACAACTCCGCATCCCCATTTCATAGGTGAAGCCTAGAGAAGCTGAAAGACTTGCCCCCAATCACACAGTAAATGGCAGAGCTGGGATGTGAAGCTGGTCTACCTGTAACCAAATCCAGTGTGCCTTCCATTCTATCCTAAACATCACCATCTCCCCAGAAGGGGCTGCGAGTGAAGTTTGACCAGGGCTGACAATACCTGCAGTTCCCCCACGTGGCCACCAGGTGGCTGTGAGCACGCCATTCCAGGTAAGACTTCTTCCTTTACCATTCTCTCTTCAGTCTGGGGAATCTCACGGGCCTAGGCTCTCATGGAAGATGGGTGTGTGTCTGAGGCACAGATAATACCCACACAGGCCCCCTGTCCAAGCCCCAAGAATCTGGGCATCGTCAGTACACACATTCTTAGCACAGACCCATTTGTTCATTCAGCCAGTATTCACTGACAATTCCCTGGGCTTTGAGTGGGTGCTACGGACAGAGAGATGATCTGGCCACATCCCTGCATTTTCTTTTCTTTCTTTTTTTCTTTTTTAATTCTTTATTTTTTTTAAGTAAACTCCATGCCACACATGGGGCTCAAACTCACAACTCCAAGATCAAGAGTTGCATGCTCTACAGACTGAACCAGCCCGGCACCCCCACATCCCTGCATTTTCAACGTTCAATAAATATTTATTGAGCATGTGCTACTTTCCAGGCATGGTTCTAGGCACAGAGGACAAGGCAATGAACAAAAATCCTTGGCTTCTTCACAAAGCATCCATTCTGATGGGGAAAGATGGACAATCTACAAATAAACACTTAATATGATATTAAGTAGGGGGTCCTTGAGGATCTCACAGACCAGAAGAACAGACAAATGTACACGGTCACAACATGATACAATCTGGTTATTTAATACGCACCTACTTAGCACTTAAGTGTAGAGGGAGTTAACTACAGAAGAAGATAAACATGGTTCCTGCCTTCATAGAAATTACAGCCTAGGATACAAAAGAGTAATTAATTATACATTTGATACATGTTTTGAAGCAAAAAGGAAGTATCATGAGTGGGGAAAAGAAATGGGTCGGTTTTAGGGGCCTGAGACACACTCAGGTGGAGGTGCCCAGGAAGCAGATGGACCCATTGGATCCTGGGTTCACATCCTGGCCCCCCTCATTGTAGCTGTGTGCCCCTGGGCAGGTGATTTTACTTCTTTTTTTTTTTTTTAAGTTTATTTATTTATTTATTTATTTATTTATTTATTTATTTATTTATTTTAGTAATTTCTACACCCACGACCCCAAGATCAAGAACCACATGCTTGGGGTGCCTGGGTGGCTCAGTTGGTTAAGCGACTGCCTTTGGCTCAGGTCATGATCCTGGAGTCCCTGGATCGAGTCCCGCGTCGGGCTCCCTGCTTGGCGGGGAGTCTGCTTCTCCCTCTGACCCTCCCCCTTCTCATGGGCTCTCTCTCTCAAAAAAAAAAAAAAAAGAAAGAACCACATGCTCTTCTGACTGAGCCTGCCAGGTGCCCGATTTTACTTCTGAAGCCCACAAACTGGGGATAACAAAAGCCATGCCTAGAGGGTAGTCGTGGACATTAGATGAGAAGCTGCAAGTAAAAGCTCTTAGTGGAATGTATATTCTGCTAAGAGTAAGTGGTCAATAGTATGAACTATGCATTATTAGTTATAGGTGGCAGCTGGGGAGGGAGCACTGAGCAGGAGATGGAGATATGAGACCTGATGGCTTTCAGATCGGAACCGATGGCAGAGGAATGGCTAAAATGACCCCAGGAGAGGTGGAATAGGTCTCAGGAGGGAATCGTGCCACCAGGGAAGAAGAGGGGGAAGGAGGAAAAGGAGGGGCAACAGAGAAGGGGAAAGAAAGTGGAAGTGAAGGGGGGGGGGGAGAAAGAGGAGGTGCTAAGGAACCCGAGAAGAAGCTCCAGAGGGGAAAGAACCAGAAGAAGCCGGTACCAGGGCAGTTGAGGCCGAAGGGAAGGCTGGGGAAAGCCCCAATTGTCCTACTAATAATGAGACCAATAACTTGGTCGGAGGGTGTGGTGGGAGGCTGAGGGGCAGAAGAGAGTAAGGTGAAAGGGTGAAGCGAGGTGGGCAGTCTAGAGGCCAGCTGAAGCCAGTCCAAAGGGCGTGGGGCCTAGTTGGGTTCACTCGACAAGGCCCGGCCTGCGGGAAAGTGACGTCGCTTGGAATCCAGATTTTGCCACTGTGACCTCCACCTACTCACTCACCTTTTCTGAGCCTTAATTTCCTCACCTGTGAAGTAGGGATACTAACTACCGAGCGGAGTTTTCGTGAAGCTGCTGGTGGGTGCTCCCAGGACCAGGTGTGCTACTACACCTGGATCCCGCCCCCTTTTGTCCGAGCCCCGCCCCAGATCGCCGAACCGAGCTCCGCCCCGCCGCGCCCACTAGCCACGCCCCCGACGAGGGCCCCACCCCGGCTGAGCCTCTGGCCCCGCCCCAGAATGGCCACGCCCACCTGGCCACGCCCAGGTTGCCTGGGTCTCGCTCCCCACATCCCAGCGGAGCCGAGTCGGGGAGGGACGCACTACACCAGCTCTCCGCCGACCCCCGGGCCTCGCCCCGCCCATGGCCGCGCCGGGACCCCGCGCCTTACGGGTCGCGCTCTGCGGCGGCTGCTGCTGCCTTCTCCTGTGTGCCCAGCTCGCTGTCGCCGGTAACGCGGACCAGGATCTGGTTTGGAGGCCCAGCCCGGGCAGGGGCAGGCAGAGCCTACCTTCATCCAGCCGCCTCTTCTGGAGCGGTCTGGGCTGGGGGGCGGGGGGCTGGAGGGGACTTTCCAGAGAGTTCAGGGCTCCAGCGGTGGGTGAAGGGGGTTCTCGCCATGTGTGAAGCATCCGTATGTAATAGGCTCCAGGTGTGGGGGATTAGAGGCTTCAGGTGTTTGGAGGGGACCCCAGGTGTGTCTGAAGGTGTCAGTTCCTCATCTATCAGGGAACCCCAGGTGTATGCAAAGGGAAGGGACTCTGGGTGAATGTGGGGGAGGTTGGGGGTGTGTGTAACCATGTGTTTGTGGAAACTCCAGGTGTGTATTGGGCCTTAGGGGATCCAGGTGAGTGTATGTGTGCAAAGGGGTGAGAGCCACAGTAGTGGGGAATTGGGGGTGCAGTTCAGTTTCAAGGAGTTGCTCCTACGCCCAGGTAAAGGAGCTCGAGGCTTTGGGCGGGGAGCCCTGCTCCGCATGAACATCTGGCCAGCTGTCCGAGGGGCCTGCAAACAGCTCGAGCTCTGTGAGCATTGTGTGGAGGGGCACAAAGCACACAACCTCTCTGGCTGCGTGTGGGAGCAGTGTCGGCCAGAGGAGCCAGGTACGGAGTTGGGCCCTCCCCAAATCGAGTGCCCCTAGTTCTGAACCCCAGGGCCTTGGCACCTCTCCCCATATCTCTCCCCTACACCTTCTCCCACCAGGACACTGTGTGGCCCAAGCTGAGGTGGTCAAGGAAGGTTGTTCTGTCTACAATCGCTCAGAGTCGTGTCCAGGTAAGGGGACTCCTGCTGGCCTAAGCCAAGTTGGAGAGAGGGGACTGAGGTGTCCCCAGCCAGAGCCTGCCCTCCAGGAAGGAATCGGCCTCTCTCGGGGAGCAGACAGTGCTCATGAACACCTGGGTCCAGTTTCAGTTCTGCCTTTAGCTCACTGAGCAGCAGTCCCTCGCCCTCTCTGGCCTGTTTCCCCAGTTAAAAATTGGCACAGCCAAAGGATCCAGGACAGATGTGTGGAGGGCATGAAGGAGTTGGCTCGTCTAATTTAAAACACAGTGAGGACTTCCGAATCAGAAGTTCAGAAGGGAATGGGGGGAGGGCTTCCTGGAGGAGGTGTCATCAGAGATGACCCTTAAAGGTAGAGATGGAGAGAGGGCACATCTGGTGGAAGGAACCGTATGAACTAAGGCTTGAAGCTGGACCTGGAACAGGGGACCTGATCTGAGTCAGAAGTCCAGCTGGTGGCCTGGGCTGGGGTCTTGGTGGGAGTCAGGGAGTGGGAGGGCTGATTTAGCATGGGTTCCCTGTCTTTCCAGCTGCCCACCACTACCCCACCTATGAACCAAAACCAGTCACAACAGGTAGGTGCTACCCGGGGGAATCCGAGTGGTGGGAGGACTAGAGGTGCCAGCAAAGACAGCTGGGCTCAGGCACTGACCTGCCTGTGACCTCAGCCCTGTGACCTCTCCTGCTGAGACTGTTCCCACACCTGTAAAATGGGTTGCTGTGAGGATTTTATGAGCAGGTGTATAGAGCCTAGTTCAGTGTCTGATGCATAGAAAGTGATCAGGAAATGATGGTTCCTGTCCCTTGTCCCCAACACCAGTTCTGGGAGCTCAGGCTGATCCTCTCAGGACCTGCCCTTGGTGCTGAAGTGTGTATGGATGGCTCAGGTCGCCAATGAGGTGTACTCAGCGACTACCAAGGCAGGCTCCTGGCAGAGCAGAAGCAAGAACTCTGCCCCTTGATTCCCACTGCCTCTCAGGGCCTGGAGGTCACCAGGCTTGGTAGGGATGGCTGCAGAGGCTTTGGTTAATTAAAGCCAGAAACTTGATCTTAGAGGCTGAATTACTGATGGCTCAGCTCCTTCTGGCTGAGCCCCAGATCAGTCTTGGGTAGCTCATTTCTTCCCTCTCCTCCTTTTCCCCCAGTGTCCTTCTCTGGGGCTCCCTGAGCTGTAGCTGGGACCACCCTTTGCCTTTCATATTCTCAGACCCGCTTACACAAGCTATACCCTCCGAGAAGTAGACCTGGCTCCCAGCTGGGCTCCTCTCCACTGCCCCAGAATGATCTTCTGCCACCAGCCCTGCCCTGCCCTGGCACCTGGCCTAGGGCCTGAAATAGAAACCCTAGTGGGGGTTGATGGCTAACGTGGCACAGCTGGGAGTCACCCGGACAGCCTGGCAACCATGGGCCCTGAGATGGGGGGTGGGAGGGTGGAAAGAGTCAGGGAGCGCTGTGTGACTGGCTCTGTCTTAACTGTGAGGTGACTTTGGACAGGTCTGGTCCTCAGAACCCAGCTTCTCCCTCTGACACACATCACCTAGTCTCCATTCATCCACTTGATAGGGTGTGAGCCTCCACTTCTTCCTTCTCTAAGGGCTCTGACATCGGGTGACTTCAGGGTCTCGGGACTTAGGAGTCCTGAAAAGGGACGATATCATCTGCATCTGGGCTTTGAACCCTGAGACCCAAGGCCAAAAGAAGCTCTGAGCCGAAGGGGTCAGAGGCCCAACTTCTGGGTCCATCCTCACCCTAGTGGGCCAGTGTGGGATAGGGAGGCTAGAAGGGAGCTCATCGCTCTCAGGACCATGCAGTCCTGAGCCCAGAGAGGATGTGAAAGACATCAAGCCACAGAGCAACCGGGAGCAGAGCCAGGGCTGGAGCCTAGCCCCACCACCCCGCCACCCCCCTAGCCAGGCCCACCCCTGTCCCACCGGGCGCTTCCCACTGCCCACAGGATCTGGGCTGAACTTCTGAGCCTGCTGGTCAAGGCTCTCATTGTGAGGACTGGAGCCTCCAGGTAACCTCTGCTGGTTATTGGGGTGGGGTTGGGATCCTGGTCCACAGCAACCCGCTATGACCTGCACCCTGCAGGGAGCCCCCCAGTTCCCGAAGCCCACAGCCCTGGCTTTGATGGGGCCAGCTTCATTGGGGGCGTTGTGCTGGTGCTGAGCCTGCAGGCAGCGGCCTTCTTCGTCTTACGCTTCCTCAAGGCCAAGGACAGCACCTACCAGACACTGTGAGTACCTGGCCAGCCAGCGGAGTCCCAGCTCACTTTCCCCACCCGACTCTTGCCCTTTGGGTCCCTTTTAGCGCCAGTGCACTGTCTTCTCAATGGGGCGGCCCTAAGGGCAATGTCTTCCTTCTGATGTCACCCATGTGAGCCACACTTCTCCCTCCTCAACGCGTGGGGTTCTCTCTGCCCCCTGTTGGCTGGGGCCAGGACTCAGCCTGGGCCCGTGTCTGAGAGCCCAGCTGAGCCCACCTGTCTTTGTCCCTCATGCTGCCAGCAGGGAGGAGAGCCAGTAGGTAATAGCCCAGGCAAGCCTTCGTTTTGTGGCTCTGTGGCTGGTTTTCCTCTAGGAAGGGGAGCTGCCCTGAGGCCCCCGTGTGCCGTGTGTGCGGTGGGGCGGGTCGCTGCAGCCTCCCTCAAAGTGTGTGCTTCCGGCCACTGCCTGCTGTCTGGGGGTGGGGGTCCTGAGCCCAGCTAGGCAGGGCCACTGCCCTGAGTGCCCTCTCTGTCTGGCCTCTGCAGAATCTGACCCCCCTTCAGGCCTGGATTCCGCAGGGGAAGGAGGACGAAGAGGCTGCCCTCTTGGCCCCCTTGTAGGCACTGGGGGTGGGAAAAACTTTGGCCACCAATGTCTGGCCCCTGTGGGCTATCAAGCAGGCTCGTGCTTCCTGTCCTGGGCCTGGTACCTGCACTGAGAGCATTCTTCGACCACCTCCTGTCTTATCCATCATGCCTGCAGGCCCCCTGCCTGGCACGGGGTCTGTGCCTGCCCCTTCCCACCCACCTGGCCTGGCACTGCCCCCAAATAAAAGAACTCTTTCCAGCACTGTGCTTCATGTCCTGTGTCTTGGGCTGTGTGTGGATCTGTGGGGGGTGGGGTATAGCCATCGTCCTCTCCTTAATGGGAACTCAGCCTTGGACTGCTACTATCACTTTTTTTTTTAAGATTTTATTTATTTATTTGACAGAGAGAGAGAGAGCACAAGCAGGGGGAGCAGCAGGGGAGGGAGAGGGAGAAGCAGGCTCCCCCCGCCCCCAGCAGGGAGCCTGATGCAGGACTCATCCCAGGATCCCAGGATCATGGCCTGAGCGGAAGGCAGATGCTTAACTGCTTAACCACTTAAACGACGGAGCCGCCCTATCACCTTTTAAAATATTTTCGTTTGTTATACGTGTTTAACGCTCCCCATCCCCCTGCCCCCCAGCCCTTTACAGATCAGTCTGTGGAGACTCAGAAAGGTAAGTACACTTGCTCAAGATCACCCAGTGGGACGGGGCAGGGCTAGGATTTGAATCCAGGTTTTTCTGACTCCAGAATAAGCAGAAGTTCAGAATCCTCCTGTAGAGGCATCTCCAGGCTCTCTCGGCTCCTAAAGTTAGGTCTCCACCCCAATGCCAAGGGGGAGATGCCCCTAGGACTCACAGCCATTTCTGCACTTCTGGCCTTCCTCACTCAGGCCCTCCCGGAAAGCCCCTGCCCTCCCATGCCCACCTCTTCCCCCAGCCCCCGCCCCCGCCCAGAAGTCTTCCCTGACTGAGAACACCTCCCACTGCTGGGCACTGCTGGGAAGAAATGCCCCCACCTCCTTCTGGTTTTCCACTCAGTTAAGGACCTTTCTTTATCAGATGTTTGCTTTTTCCAAAGTAGTAAATGCCTGTAGGGAACACAAGGTCTATAAAGAAATGGATATGAAGAGTGAGGAACACTTTCCCTGGGCCCCACTCCCCAGAAATAACTATGCTTAACAATATGTTTCAGACTCTTTTTGTAAATTTACAACATACATACACACATTCAGTGTTCTTAAAATACAAAATTGGGATTGGGCTATACATATTGTTCCGCAACTTTGTCCCTTTCATTAGAGCTCAGATTTGCCCTATGACTTGTCCAGATGGTGATATTTTATTTGCCTGTATCCTATCAATGTTCAGTTGGGTCACTTCCATGTTGATTTTTTTTTTAAAGACTTTATTAGCACAAGCTGGGGGAGAGGCATAGGGAGAGGGATAAGCAGACTCCCCATTGAGTGGGGATCCCAGGACCCTGAGATCGTGACCTGAGCCGAAGTCACACACTTAACTGACTGAGGCACCCAGGCATCTCCTTGTTGATTATTATAAACAGCACATAATTTTTTTTAAATTAAGTAATCTCTATGCCCAACGTGGGGCTCAAACTCACGAGGCCAAGATCAAGAGTCACATGAGTTGCACCAACTGAGCCCGCCAGGTGCCCCATTAAAAAAAATTTATTATAAGTAACACATGGTGGGCGCCTAGGTGGCGCAGTCGGTTAAACATCGAACTCTTGCTTTTGGCTGAGGTCGTGATCTCAGGGTCGTGAGATTAAGCCCCACCTCTGGCTGCACACTCATTCTGCTTGAGATTCTCTCTCCCTCTCCCTCTGCCCCTCCCGCTCATGCTCTCTCTCTCTCTCAAATAAATAAATCTTTAAAAAAAAAAAAAAGCACATGATAACTAAGCTTGTCTGTAGATCTTGGCACACCTGTGGGAGAGTTTGGGGAGGAGAGATCCCTGGAATTGAAATTTCACGATCTCAGAGAGTCCATCTCACGCATCCATCCTGTCTGGCACACTCGGCCTCTGCCTTCCCGACACCCCCTGCTACCGCCTCCCTCCGGGCCCCCATGAGCACTGGGCCTGGATAGAGAAGGCCTTCAGGGAAGGCTTGATGAACAAATGGCCAAGTGAATGGATGAGTGCACAAACAAGCAAATGAGCCTTCCCTCTCCTTTGCTATCCCCTGAGGATTCTCCCCAGCTCAGACCTCAACTCTCACATCTGGACTGTGGCTGTTGCCTCCTCCCGGGCCTCCTAGCCTCGAGGCCTGCCGGGCACAGTCGCTGACTCAATGGCCTGCCTATATTAGCAACTATTTCCTAGGTGCTGTCAGGGTCTCCCCGACAGACTTGAGAGTGGGCATGAAGTCACTTTGCCGAGAGTGTGTCTCCCTGGTGGGGAGTTTGGGCAAAATCTCTGTGGCTCTGGGCATAGAGGTGCCAGAGAGTGAACAAGCCATGTTCTGTCTCTGGGCCTCGGTTTCTTCTTGTTTATTCATTCATTGAACCAATGTTTATTGAGTGCCCGCTTTGTGCCAGTCCCATAGCCCAGGGCCAATAATGCCTACGAGCCGGGCTGCGTAGGACCAGAGGCCACACACAAACCACACCCAGCAGGACTAGTGGAGTGCGGCAGGTGCCCAACGGATGGTAGCCGTGATCATAACACTTGACAAGGACCAGGGAGGGATCCCTGCAGGAGGTGGCGGGAGGCCTGGACCTCCACACACAGGTGGGGCTTCGCAGGGAGAGATGGAGAGGAGAGCATCCCACACGGAAGGCACAGAACAAGCAGAGGGGCAAAGGCGGAAAGCCCTATGCGAATCCAGAGGTCTGGAGAGATGGCTGCAGAGCCCCAGAGACCAGGATCAGAAGTCGGACTACATCCCAGCCTCCAGGGCTGAGGGAGGACATGCCTCTACCCTCTGCTGATTCTAGCCTGGGTGCGATGTCCCTCGGGAGTCAGGCTTCATGTTCTCCCATCAGCCTGGCCCCTTTATAAACTGGCATCTTCCCTCAGGACACCAGCAAGATGGGGCTACTATGGACCCCATTCTACCTTTTTTTTTTTAAAAGATTTTATTTATTTATTTGAGAGAGAGAACGAGATAGAGAGAGCATGAGAGGGGGGAGGGCCAGCGGGAGAAGCAGACTCCCTGCTGAGCAGGGAGCCTGATGCGGGACCCTATCCCGGGACTCCATGATCATGACCTGAGCCGAAGGCAGTCGCTTAACCAACTGAGCCACCCAGGCGCCCTCATTCTACCTTTTTGCTCCTCTTCCTTGGGAAGCTGGCCTGCCTGAGGACCCAGGGTCACCCCAGCTGCCCAGGGTCTAGGTTGCCCTCCCCACCAACCCTCACTCCTTCCCTGGGTGTCCTTCTCCCACCCAGGCGCATTAGCCTCAAGGAGCGGGGTGGGAGTTTGATCATCTGGGCTCTGCACTGTAAATTTATGCAAATAGATGCAAATGGTGCCAACCCTTGACCCTTGGCAGCTCTGGAGGTAAGGGTCCTGACAGCTGGAATCTGGGAGATGGAAAGAGAACCACAAAGGGGTCTGGAGGAGATATGCCCACTCCCCCATGCCCACCCTGTGGCCACCCAGCCCTGCATCTTCCTGCAGAACCCAGGGAACCGGAAGCCACAAAATTGTCCTCCTGCCCAGTTGTCCTGGAGCCCCAGGAAGTTGTGAAGAGAAAGGAGCTACAGGTCCTCAAAGTCAGGGATGCCAGGAAGCGGTCAGGGACCTGGAGTGAAGTGGGTAGGCTGGGGATGCAGTGATTACTGTCTAAGCTGAGAGGCCATGACCAAGGGGCAAGGAACCTAGTGTGTGTTAAGGTTGACTCTGTGAGGTAGCTGGTTCTATCCCATTTTGCTAAGCGGGAAAGTCAGGCCCAGGGATGATAAGCTGGGTGCTCACGATCACAGAGCCAGTAAGGAGTGCAGCTGGGATCTGACTTCTGGCTTCGAGTCCCTCATTGCTCTGGGCACGGGGTGAGACTTAAGGCACCTTGGCCTCTGGGATTTCAGGGCAACCTGGACCACCTGGCAAGATGGGCCCCAAGGGTGAGCCTGCTGAGTGTGTGGGACCATGGGTATCCTCTGCTTTCTTTGCTTCTGTCCCCAGGACTAGAGAGGGGTGTCTCTGCTCGGCTGCTGTTGAGCAATCCACCGTGGGGGGATGGAAGGTTGGGAGAAGTGGGGGGGATTAGGAGAGGGGCCTGGGCACCTCCCCTCTGGTTTGTGGGCCTTGGAAGTACTCAGACCTCAGAGCCAACACTCTGTCTTTTCCTGGGTCAGGAGATCCAGTGCCCCTACTGTGGTTCCAGGAGGCAGCCTTCACAGGAGCCAGGAACTTGGCATCAGGTGGTGCTGGGGTGTCGATCGGCCGCCAGACATGGCCCAGCCCTCCGTAGAGCCTCTCTTCAGGGGCCCGATGGAGCTGAGAGGGCTCCTGGGGGTCCCACCCTTGGCCTGTTCCATTGCCTGCAGGGTGAGGGTTGGCAACCCCCCTTGGCAACTCCCCTCAGCCCATCTCCCCTTCTGTAGGCCCTAGAAGCTGCCAGGAGCTGCTGAGCCGGCGTGCCACGTTGAGTGGCTGGTACTGTCTATGCCTACTCGAGGGCAGAGCCTCCTGGCTTGTTGTGACAAGGACACCACAGAAGTCGGCTGGCTGGTGAGTGTCAGGGAGGCTCAAGGGCTCTGAGGCCAGGCCCAGCGGACACTTTTCCTCTTGGCCCCTAGGGGGAGCCAGAGCCCACTGGAGCCAAGGCCTCTCTCCCAGACCCTCACGGGCAAACGTTTACTGAGCTCCCAGAGGGCCTGAAGAAGTCTGTGAAGGCTTCACAGAGGAGATGCCATTTGAAAGGGCCTTGAAGGCTGTGTAGAAGTTCTCTAGATAGATGGGGGCTGAAGGGCATTCCAGGTAGCTGGAAAGACAATCACAGGGAAGCAGGAGAGGACGAGAGGGTTTGAGGAGATCGTGGGAATGAGTTGAGGAAAGATAAGAGGTCAGGGGTGGGGGCGCCTGGGTGGCTCAGTCGTTGAGTGTCTGCCTTCGGCTCAGGTCATGATCCCGGGGTCCTGGGATCGAGCCCCACATCGGGTTCCCTGCTCCGCAGGGAGCCTGCTTCTCCCTCTCCCACTCCCCCTGCTTGTGTTCCCTCTCTCGCTGTCTCTCTCTCTGTCGAATAGATAAATAAAATCTTAAAAAAAAAAAAAAAAAAAACTTCCTTTAAAAAA